GCTTAACTGTTAAAGACATCCAGGACTGTTGCCAAGACAAAAAAAAGATGGCAATACCTATTGAAGAGTTGGGAGAGAAGCACAACATGAAACCTGATGATGTCCGGAAGACATTGCTCTCCTTCCATGATTTGTCTGGAGTAGGTTACTTTGCGGGACTTCCTAATGTTGTATTCCTGAAGCCTCAAAATCTTGTTGATGATATATCACTTCTCATTAGCATCTCATTCTCTGAGGGAAGCGACTATATAGAAGATACGCTAAATATTTTTGACATGCCAAACGATGCCTTGGAAAATATGCAACATGGGTATTTTAAGAAGGAGGTAATCGAAAAAATTGCTCGTTCTTGTAAACCATCCAATTTGCTTACATTGATGATAGAGTTACACATCACTGCAGAGTTTGAAACTAATAAATATTTCCTTCCCTGTGTTTTACTTACGGCCGGTCAAGAAGAACTTTCAACATTTCGAGAATCTTACCGTAAAAAAGTGGAGCCATTGATTGTATCCTGGAATAACAAGGTTATACCACGAGGACTGTTTTGTACGCTCATTACATTTCTCCTTAAAGATGCTAGGATAAAACTAGTTGAATTGACAAACAAACGAGGCAAACCAACCAACTTCTACAGAAATGCCATTCAATTGGTTTACAACTTGTCTGGCGGAATCCTCCTCATCGACTCTGTGACGTACATAGAGATTTATTACCAATGGGCAGCAAGCCAACTGCTATGAAATAAAGGAATTCATATTTGAATGCTTATGTACAGCAATCAAAGAGCTTCACTGCAGTCATGACTATTTAAAGCTACAAATACAATTTTTCTGCAAGTGCGGACATCCTTCAGTTCACCTGTGTCTGCTCAGTGAGCTTGACCTTAAAACGCTTACCTGCCTGTGCGGTATTGTTTCCACTTCAGAGGTTACCACTCGACAGCGCCCATGGCTAGGTATGTTGAAATTCTAGACATCAATAGCACTAATACTGCTTTTGACTTGAGTTTGCCAAATTACACTTCATAATAATTAATATGTTATTTGTGTAGGTGACAAAGTATATCTACACGAGCCACCACCTTTAGATGAGCTATGTGCCAATATTGAAGTTATGGAGCCAGGAAAAGTACAATCTCTAGCTATTCAGCTTAAAATATCAGATTATCAGCGAAATATTATTTTTCACCCTAATTATTTTTTTGTCAGACTAAATGGTGTTTTTGAAGCTTGGCTAAAGGAGTGCTCTAAACCAACAAGATATCAAGTTATTGAAGCATTACGTGCAATAGGGGATTACAAAGCTGCACACGACTATGTGAATAAGATTGGTTAGTAGCTACATGTATTTTGTTGTATTATTCACTTTCATTGTGTAGAGGACAAAACATTAAAAGACAATATTTCCAATAGCAAGAAACTAGGTAAGAGCTGTAAAAAATGCTAAACACTGCCATGCATATTGCCTTTTTCAATTCTAGATGTTGATACCATTTTAATTGCCTTAAAAACAATAGAATTTGATATGAAGACTACTTTTGATTTAGCTGAAAAACTTGATTTAAATCAGGATTGGCACGATAAGAATGAAGAAAAGTATAAGGACGAGCCTTTTGAGACTATTCTAAAAGAATTTTTGTCACATTGGCTTCATGGTGAAGGGAAGTCTCCTAAAACATATGGAACACTACGTACTGCTTTGACAACTTTGACCAACAAGTATGATACATTGATTGAAAAGACTTTTCCTGCCAGTATTTAAATTGCAACTTAAATCTGCTGTACTTTGTTTTAAAATTTTGTACGCTGTTATTTTAAAAACTTTTAACTTATATCTAATTATTTATACCAATTAAAATTTGTGAAGTGAGATTATTATTAATTTTATCAAACTTAATCATTTGTTGTCTATTATTTAACTTTGACAAAAATGTTTGTTTCAACACTACAACTCAAACACATTGCATTTAAATTAATTAATTTATGAACCTCAATTTTAAAGTACGTTATACATGTTCCTACGTTGTGCAGAAAGTATAACTGATTCCAATCAAGTGTGGACTTTATAAAAATTCTTAAAGTTTCTCCAAAATTGGACCAAAGTCCATATTACAGGTATTTTGGCCAAATATTTCACCAAATGAGAGAATTCCTCAATTTTATTGCATTTTCTGATACACATATTGTACATATACTTATGTTTAGTAAAAGTTTGAACCGATTCCAGTCTATAGGTAGATAATTTACATAAGACAAATGAAGCATATAATTGTATTTATAAATAAAAAAGGAAGTAGTACATAATTACTTGATATCATTTGCTGCTATCATATTGTATTTCAGACCAACTGACCTGTCTTTCCTTCAGTGTCATAAAGGTATTCACTATTATTGATGGTAATTCCAAAATCTCCATAAAACCTTGGAAGATAAGCAGATGTACAGTATCCTGTTTCAAAAGAAAGACATGCTGCTTTTAGCATCCCAAAATGAAAATGCCCAGCATACTCTATAGCCAATAGTCATTAATTGGCCAAATTTTGGAGCAATTATGTAAAATTCCAAAGCAGATTAATCTCATGCATATGTCACACTATTAATGTAATATAAATATTCTCCTTGCTATGCATAAATTGATGAATTATCTAATTTTAGAGCAACTTTAAGAATCCATTTTTTTCTCAAAACTTTCATCAATGTAGCAACACAATGGAATTTTTGAGAAAAAAATTTTCAGATGCTCTTTTAAAGTAATTATCAAAAATTTGCTCAAACTTTTACAGGCAGGACTATACTCTTATACCTCCCCTGCACTGATAACATAATCTCGGACAACAACTGTACATTAAAAGGAATAACAATGTATAAATGTAATTTTAAACATGAAAATGTAAGAAAAAGACATAATCATAAATTATAATACTTATGATGATATCATAGTCCACAGTGATGATATCATATCCCACTATGATAATACGATATTCCACCACAAACTATTCCATGTAAAATGACTATGGTGTCACCACAATGTATACATTTATACATTATTTATGCATTCAATTTGTACCTCTGTGTGTGTGTATATAGCATTGCTAAGTCATTTCTAGGTACTGATTTGAGCATACTGAGATCATAGTGAGGCTGCGAGGATTTAAACTATAATCTATGTGGTTTTGTACGTGTAATTATCATAAATACTGCTTGTAACATGATGATAGATAATGGTATGATTTATTAATTGTCACTAATTACTGGTATTGTCAATCTTTGCATTCTTCACCCACACAAAGACAGCAACTGACTAAAATATTTAATTAGTCTGGCGCCTCGACCTAACGTCTAAAAAACAAGCCTGTATTAAGAATTCTGGAGCGAATTTGACCAAATCTTTTACAGGAGAAGCTTAAAGGCAGCTATTCTCTCTTATAACAAGCACTTTTTAGCTTTTGATAGAGCTACGGCAGGTAAGTGAGGCTGAGGCATTTTCTTCTTGCCCCCATTGACTTCCTTAACAAAAATGGCAGCCAATTACAGTACCGGTATCACGCGTGGGTGGACACCGCATATAAAATTAATGAATTCATAGCTTTTGCAATTCTGTCTCTGGTTGGTCTATATCAATGACCTGAACCTTCCGTCTTGAGTCATAACTTCAGTATATATATGCTAGACTCCGCTTACAGAAGACTTCAGTTATACCAACTTCATTAAAAATAATGATGAAACCTTTTGCAATAATTGGGCACTTGAGATTGTTAAAAGATGTCACTTCATTCAGCAAATTTGTTACCAAGCACATACAAAACCTAGGACCAATCTTCAAAATGAATTTCATTGGTAAGTCCAGTATTGTACTATGCATGTTAGAATATTTAGTCACAATTAAGGCAAGCCTTGTTAAAGAACATGTTGGAACATGAATGAGAGCCTAACTCTCTCTTGTTTCAAAGCTACATGAAACTGGAATTATTTTTACCATTGTTGCATATTAATTAGAATCGATTGGTACTAAAATTTGTTTCAAACAACATTGATAAATGATGATATGACCATATTTTAGCTAGTGAAAGACCACTAAAAGTCATTTTTTCTATACTTTTAGGCCAATCTATGGTCTATGTAGCTGATCCATCAGCAGTGGATAAAGTTTTTCGAAATGAAGGACAATACCCTACTAGATCTCTTATTGATAAAAATGTAGACTGGATCATGCAAAGGAGAAATGAACCCAGCCTATTTATTTTTTAGTAAGTAATAATGTGTGATTTATAGTGTAAAGTACTGTTTTGAAAGACTTGCAAATAAGAGATTGCGAAGTTTATCTTTATGTGAATGAATGCAATGAATGAATGAATGAATGATGAATCCAATTCCATCATGTAATAATAATATATTCTAATGACTTTCCCCAGTAGCATAAAGATCTAGTTTTGGGCAGATTTTACTTATTTGTTCTAACCATAATAAAGTAATAGTTTTAAAAAGATGGTTTAGAAATAACATGGCATGATATAGCTATATTTTGTAATTAATTTTTTCAATAGAACTGGGAAGGAGTGGCTCACTAATCGTTCTAAGGCTACCAAGCAGGCATTACCTGCTAATGTGTTTAGCTATTGCTCTGGGTTTAATAAAGTTGCCAAACAATTTATAAGAAATGTACATGAAATTCAGAATAAAGATGGTACTGTCAATGATATAAGAGATCTTGTCAGATATTGGTCGCTTGAAGGTAAACTTGA